CACAGGTGAGACTGAACACACCTGAGAGACCCCAAATACACCTGGGGACAGCACAGGTGAGACTGAACACACCTGAGAGACCCCAAATACACCTGAGAGACCCCAAATACACCTGGGGACAGCACAGGTGAGACTGAACACACCTGAGAGACCCCAAATACACCTGAGAGATCCTAAATACACCTGAGAGATCCTAAATACATCTGGAGACAGCACAGGTGAGACTGAACACACCTGAGAGACCCTAAATAAATCTGAGAGACCCCAAATACACCTGGGGAACCCCACAAGTCTCATCTGAAGCACCTCGAATATACCTGAGACAGCCCCAAGCACACCTGGAGCACCCCCAGCTGTGTCCCCAGGTACCCCCAGGTCTCCCAAATGTACCCAGGTGTGTCCCCAATGTCCCCCCAAGGTGAGTCCCAGGTGTATCCCCAGGTGTGCTTTAGTCCCCCAGGTGTGTTCAGCTGTCCCCAATGTCCCTCAAGTGTCTCCACCCCCTCCCCCCAGGTGTGTCCCAGGTCCTTTCTGGGGCGGCTCTGGCCCCAAGACAAACCCAGAACACCTGAGACAGGTGAGACTGAGAGCACTGGCAGCTGTTACTGGGAGCACTGGGAGGCCTCACCTGCTCCGGGCTTGGCTCCACCCCCTCCGTTCCATGGCCCCGCCCCCTCAGCGCCTCCAGCTCCATCTCCAGGATTTGGCTCCGCCCCTTTTCCGCCTCCAGCTCCGCCTCCATTGTTTGGCTCCGCCCCTTTTCCGCATCCAGGTCCGCCTCCATTGTTTGGCTCCGCCCCTTTTCCTTTTCAAGCTCCGCCTCCAGGCTTTGGCGCCGCCCCTTTTCCTTTTCAAGCTCCGCCTCCAGGCTTTGGCTCCGCCCCTTTTCCCTTTCAAGCTCCGCCTCCAGGTTTTGGCTCCGCCCCTTTTCCTGTTCAAGCTCCGCTTCCAGGCTTTGGCTCCGCCCCCTTTCCTCTTTAAGTTCTGTCTCCAGGCTTTGGCTCCGCCCCTTTTCCTTTTCAAGTGCCACCTCCAGGTTTTGGCTCCGCCCCCTTTCCTTTTCAAGCTCCGCCTCCAATCGCTGGCTCCGCCCCCTCAGGGCATTGAGCTCCGCCTCCAGGCTTTGACTCCGCCCCCTCAGAGATTTCAGCTCCACGTCATGGCCACGCCCCTTTCCGTCCCCAAGCTCCGCCCCCAGGGATCTGTGCGGGAAATGGGGTTACTGGGAATGGGGGATACTGGGAGGGGGACTGGGGTTACTGGGAGCACTGGGA